TACGTAGCAGTACACAGTACAGCCTGGTACACATCAGGTACATACCAGGTGACATAATACTCTGTACTTTTATAGTACATGCTTACATGGTACAAACTTGGTACATACTGGACATGACTGAATTAGAAAACAACTTGTTACCTTATAGTTATTTGGTACTTAGCAAGTACTTACCAGATGTGTTCCAGGTACTCTAAGTACTGCGTATTGTATGTAATGTAGGGTATGTACCCAGTATTTACTCACATGTATACATACAGGCACTGGACTGATTTAGAAAACAAAATACCCAGTACTTATTTGGTAAGTAGGCCACTGGGTAAGTACTTGTTACATATTTGGAAAGTACTGGGTATTGTCTTACAAAATATAACATCCAGTACACAATATGTACTTACTTGTAATTACTGGGTATTATACTTCCTAATACAATACCCAGTACTTACCCAATATGTAACAGGTAAGTACTTACCTAGTAACCTACTTACCACATAAGTACTGGATATTATACTTCCTAATACAATACCCAGTACTTACCCAATATGTAACAGGTAAGTACTTACCTAGTAACCTACTTACCACATAAGTACTGGTATTATACTTCCTAATACAATACCCAGTACTTACCCAATATGTAACAGGTAAGTACTTACCTAGTAACCTACTTACCACATAAGTTCTGGGTATTATACTTCCTAATACAATACCCAGTACTTGCCCAATATGTAACAGGTAAGTACTTACCTAGTAGCCTAATTACCACATAAGTACTGGGTATTATATTGCAGCCCAGTCCCTGTAAGTACCATGTAAGTACTGAGTACTTACCCTACAGCTATGGTCATTTTTAGTAGTTCGTGTAAGTACATGGTAAGTACTTAAGTAAATATGTATTCCTACCAAAAGTATTTTGTACATGTTTGTGAACTTAAATTTACTCTTTTGATCTATACAATCAGGCAAATCAATCAATACCTAAACCGTAAAAACTTTTTATCAGACAGGCAACAAATCAATAAATGTATTACAATACGAGACGTTTTAGTCGCTCATCTTCTGGGATGTTTTGTTGTTTTTGCACGGATGGAGTCTCTACATTCATCAGTGGTTTTTTTAAGGCCGTCTGGTAAGAAAACGAGTCTGATTGAACACACTCGTCATAAAGTTTAATCTCTGTCAGTCATAAAAATGAAATCCCTTCAGAATCCACAGAACAAACTGCTGAACTCAGCAGGTTCTGAACCGCAGCACTGCTGCAGCGTCAACATCTGGATCAGCTGGGCGTGGGGAGCGAGCATGGAGGGGATGGAAAAGAAGAATGGGCACCATGATGGGCTTTCAGCAAACCAGAGCGGCATCCCCTCGGCTCGGGGGGCCGCTTCTAGTTTTTACTTTAAAGTTGGTGGAATGTCAAAGCCTGTAGCCCCTCCCATTAATGATCCAACGTCCAGAAAACCTTCGACTGAAATCACTGAGAGCTGCAAAGATGATCACAATCTAAGTCATCAGGGAGACAGCGGGCACCTTTTTAATAAATCTCACTTTAAAAAGTCCTTGAGCGTAAATCTGTGTGTGTTTGTGTGTGTGTGTGTGTGTGTGTGTGCACATAGGACTGGGTAAAGGACAACAGTTTCAGAGTAAAAAGCAGCACCATTTACTATAGTAACTGAATATTGTTAAAGTATCAGCTGCACCTTTTCTTTAGTTTTTTTCCTACATGAGCAAAAGAACAGGTCTGATAATGTCTGACAGAAAACTGAGCTAAGAGATTTTAATAACCAAAACAGACACACTGTCAAATCAACCAACAGCTTCTTTAAATATAAATACTAAATGTATACTATAGATTGTAATACTGGTGTTACAATAGAGTCTATACGTAAAATCAAAAGGGTTAGAATCACAAAGTTTGATTCAGGAACGGCCTCATTGCCGTTTAAAATAAAGAAAAAAGGAAACAAGGTGCGTTTTCTATAACCTATAGATAAATACGAAATTCTGTAGTAAATTCTTCATGTCTGACCTTGCAATTCAACTGCAACAATATCACATGTGAGCTTCATAAACTACATTTCCCTTGGAAATACAAACATGAATATTATAAGGTGCAAAATGCAGGGTTTGATCCAGCCTCTTCTTCCAGGCTGCGCACATCTTCTTCTGGTAATAATTCATATTTGTTCTGCAGTGGAAATGTATCCAGCAGCTAATATTTTACACTTCTTAAAAAAATGTAAGATTCCTAAGACCAAGGTGGGGGTAAGTGGGGGGTGGGGGTATTGCAGGAATGAAAATGAACCTCATGAGAAGAAGATGGACTAGAATTCATGTCCCCAGTTTCAAACCTTGAGCCGACAACAAGAGTCTAACGGCTGGAGCAGCCTGATGATGTCATCGTTTGTTTACGCCGCCATGACGGAGGGCAGCTTACTGTGTTCATTAATAAATAAATAAATAAATAAATAAATAAATAAATAAATAAATAAATGAAAGAATAAATAAATAAATAAATAAATAAATAAAGTCTGAATCGGAGTTTCGAAGCATCTTTGGATAAAATAGGAAC